TATATATCTTGGTTAAATTTCAAACACTAAAAAGATAAACACAGGGTATTTCCTTTTGAGCTTATACTGTGAGGTTCTATTAAGCCGCATTTACCAAGCTCTCATGTGTAATAAACTCTTGCTTGAACACGACAATCACTGGCCTGAAGAATTAAGTCTCTAATGTTAAAATGCATCTAGCATTTCAACCAGCCAGCCTACAGGACATATGTCCACTAGGTGGCATAATACTACCAGAAAGGCCAATTAAAAGAAAACACACACGTGATCAAACTTAAAATATGTAGGTCATGTTTGTTTTGAGACAGGGCCTTGTTGCACAGGCTGGCCTGGACCCCACTGCGTAATTGCTGCTGGTCCTGAGTGCCTGGCCCTGCCTCTACACCACACGGAGACGACAACCATGAAACCTCCCATCAGGTTTCAGACTACAGCATATGAAGACGGGCACACTAGTGGGAAACAGCAAAGTCTGTTTCTGTCAAGGACAAAACTACAGCAAATCTAGCTGTGTTACTGTCTGGCTTCACGTGTGCTTCATTTACTGAACATTTTTAAACTAAACAGCAAACTATGCATTGAGCACTAACATATCTGTTTTCACTTAATTATCCCAAATTCTGTGACGTGTTTTCTCGCCCTGGTGTTAACACGGCTGAAGCTGCACCTGAGTGGAGAATGGAAGACGTGCTAGCCACAGCAGGCCCGACTTTGTTGTGAAACACAAACTGGTACGTAGCACATGATGGGGAATTCATAAATGCCACCAATAGCAGGAAAGCAGTTTTGAATGACTTCCCATGCCGTCAAAACCTAATGGATCATCTGTGACAAAATTCAAACTAAACAAGAATCTGAAAGAGACTACAAAGACAGATGTAAACACCACCCACATCTCTAGCGGTCACAGGCAAGCTTGGCACCCGCTGAAGCACATGCATCCACCAAGCACACAGCAGGAAGTGAACATCAGTGGAGCCATGCCAATTTAATGTAGCTGAACACAAGGGCTAAGAGTATGGTTTGGGTATATTGTTTAACATTAGCCAACTTCCTTTTTGTTATCTCAAGATTCAGACAAGGGACAAGGCTTGTAAACTAGCCAGAAGCACAAGGGCACAGACACAAAGATCAACAGGAATAGGGTGAGGGCTCAGGGGTATACGCGCTTGCCCCTGTTCCTAGCAGCCGGAGATCATCGCAGGGACACATACACTGTCTTCTACATTCCATTTGTACACTGAGGCATGTGTGCACATGCAGGCAAACAAAGGTAAAATGAAATATATCAATAATACAAGCGTTCTGACTGAGCAAGTTATTTTGGGGCCTAAGAAAAACTGTACCATGCCAAAATGAGAGGGAGTGGGCTACTCAATGATAAGCTAGCATTTTCCTGTGTTAGAGGCGTGGGGGAGGATACAGAACAGGATAGCGCTGAACTTCTCCCATGTATTCATGACAACCCTCCCCCATACAATCAATTCTGGTTTTGCAGATAGGGGAGTGGTTAAATAGCTTGCCATTAGCATCACAACCAGATCCTGAATGGAAGAGCTATAACTAACCAACAAACGGCATCAAATGTTCCTTATCCCATTTACCAAATTTTATTCCCCCACGATCACCAAAATAAACCATTTATGCCGTAAATCACACTGCCCCCAACCAGTTAACAGAAAGTTGCTCAGCAAATCAGTAAGATCATAAATACTTCAGTTTAGGGTCATGAGGTAGGTATCTGGAGAGTAAGGGGTTACCTCCACAGCTATTATGTCTCACCCCCTACCCACTGCTCCCCAAGACACAGCTAAACTGTACTCTGGCCTAATACTACCCTTACTTCCAGGTGAGATATGGAAAGAGTGGCTAACACAGCAAGAAAATCTGAGGTGAGAAGAGCAAAACTCTCTAAAATAGCCTCCAAGTGTCTGTTCTTGGGTGTGCTATGATGAGTAAACATCTCAGCTGTGACTCAACTTCCCCCGGCTTGTGTGCCGGGGTTAAACAAGGTATGATTAAGTATACCAATTATGAGTCTTTGTAGTGCTTCTTTAGAATCACAGAAACTTAGGAAAATTGTTAAACAACAGCTGTGGGTTTGAAGAACTGCTTAGAGCGCTATGCCGAACCTGGGATTGCTCGTTCTAAATGGGGGTGGGGTGAGGTGAGGTATGGGGAAGGCACCTGGGAAGAATTTACAAGGCATCAAGAAAATTCACACATAAAGGTTTTGCCTAAAATACAAGTCCCAAACGGATGTTCCTATTTAGTTCAATTTAGTGGCTTGTCACCACCAATTAATCTAAAAACTTAAATCTTACAATATCAAATTCAAAGGTTTTTTACAAGTGATGGTGACTCACGCCTTTAATCCCAGGAGGAAGAGGCAGGTGGATCTCTGGAGTTCCAGGACAGCCATGGCTACACAGAGAAACCTGCCTGAGAAACAGAAGGGAGAGAAGGAGGAAGATCAAGGTGACCAACTCCCCAGGGCATGTGCACTTGCACACACTAAATCTCATAAAACTTAAAATGAAACTCTTTGTCACGTATGTACTGGAACTCCAGTACTTGAAAACAGAGAAGCACCTAGAAGGTAATCTTGACTTCCAACGCAGTTGAGTCTATCCTAGGCAGCACCACAAACCCTGTCTCAACACAAGTATGAAAGCTAATTCTACTGGCAGTGACAAATAACCACCAGGCATATAAACATAAATTATATTAGGTACTATAGTAAGTCTTGCTGGAACTCAATGACTGATGTGATTCAACAGAGGAATGGTTGAGTACATGTACACACCAACACACTCACTTGCGCATCACATGTGTGGATTTCCCTCTTAAGATCAGAGGGGGTGAGAAAAAGGGTGTGTGGAAGGAATGGAGGGGAGTGGGAGGAAGGGAAGTGGAAATTTGGATTAGTGTTTTTTAAAGTAATAAAATAAGATAATAATAATAATGTAATGCCAGTTTTCAGAGCTTCAGCTATGTCTGTTTCTTAAAATAACCTTTGTCTCCAAGAAATGCATTTCCAGACGGCATGTTCTGGTTTCCTGCAGCTGACAATCAGACCCTAATCCCATCAAGGACCTTCCATGCTGCACTGAAATGCATGACTTGACTTCACAACTACACAGCTTTTCTATTATTATTTGTGGTGCCAAGCACTGGTTCTTAAAGCTGACATTTCAAATATAGATATATTTTCTTTCAAATAGAAAGTAAATGTATAATTTCATTATACAGTTTATTAAAATCTACATTCATTCATATCAATCATTCATCAAAAGTCCTTCAGTAAGGAAAGGTACTCATGGTATTCATGGTCAAGTTCAACATTATGACTTTAGGCGATAGCTCAAAGTTTATCGTGGCAATAACATCAGATTTTGCCCCTACAGTCCTGCTCTCCACATGGCAGCGCACAACTCCAGTTCCAGAGGATCTGAGACCCTCTTCTGACCTCTGCATGCGCCATGCACACACATGATGCACAGAGATCAAGTGCATACACCCACAAAGCAAAAATTAATAAATCTTTTTTTTTTTTAAGTGTTTCAGACTGAACAGATGGCTCAGCCAGTAAAACGTTTGCCTGAACTCAATACCCCAATCCACATAAAAGCCAGGGGCAGTGGTGGGCATTTGTAATCCCTCCATGTGTAGGGGAAGGAGGAAATGGGAAAAGGAAAGGGAAGAGAGGTGAGAGAGAGAGAGAGAGAGAGAGAGAGAGAGAGAGAGAGAGAGAGAGAGAGAGAGAGAGAGAGAGAGAGAGAGCGCGAGCGCGCGGAAGGGCGAGATAGACACCAAGGACTCACTGGCCAGACAGCTTAGCCTAAAAGGCCTATGTAAGACTCACTCTCAAAAATCAAAGCTGGGGGAAAGGGCTGCAGTGGCAGTGAGATGGCACAGATGCCACCAAGCCTGTTGACTTGAGCTCCATCTCCAGAACTCAGGTTTGTTCCCCGCCCAATATAAAGATTGTAGGTGACAATTTCTTTTTTTTTTTTAATAATTTATTTTTTATTTTATATGTATTGGTGTTTTGCCTGCATTTATGTCTGAGCAGAGGTGTCAAATCTTGGAGTTACAGACAGTTGTGAGCTGCCATGTGGATGCTGGGAATTGAACCCAGGTCCTCTGAAAGAGCAGTCAGTGCTCTCAACCTCTGAGTCATCTCTCCAGTCCCGTAGGTGACGATTTCAAAAACTATTTTAAAACTGAATTAAGATGGCCAAGAAATTCAAGACTATAAGGCACTTAATACATATAATTATATATAACAAAATCTTCTACTCAAGCTAGAAATAAATGCTCAGTATTAATGAGAAAAGAACTGATGTCCAGGGAGGGCTGCACACGCACACACACACATGTGTGCACACACAGAAATAGAGGATGTGAAAGTAATTATAAATTTTCATAAATTACAAAGAGTAAGAAAAGATAATCACATCACTCATTGTCTGAGTACCACATATAGTAAAACTCAAAATAGATCTGGTTAGCATGGAGTATTGTCTGAAGCCGAAGCCTAACAGATAAGGCTGAGTCCCACACTAAGCAGAACACACATACACACACCGAATCACTGATTTATCAAACAAACTAAAGCAAAGAAGATAACTTCAGATCTATCTCAGGGCTGGCCTCAAAACAGCAGGATCATAGCAAATTTACATCTCTGAATTTTGTCCTTTTGGAGGGGGGATTTCTCTGTGTAGCCCTGGCTATCCTGGAACTCAATCTCTGCGGTCTAGGCTGGTCCCTGAGTGCTGGGATTAAAGTCATGCCCCACCACCAGAGGCTTAACTGCATTGTCTAAAAATGGCAACCCACCATTTTTTACAAGGTTAAAGTGATTAAAAATCCTATTTGCAAAAGCAAAAATTAACTCATTTGTTTAGCAGATGCAGGCTCTTGCAAATTAGCTTCCCAATGAGTGTTGTTTTAAGAAACATGCAGAGCAGTGGTGGCGCAGGCACCTTTAATCCCAGCACTCCAGGCAGAGGCAGGCAGATCTGTGAGTTCAGAGCCAGCATGGTCTACAGAGAAAGTTCCAGAATAACCAGGACTGTTGGAGAAACCAAGCAAGACTGGTCTACAGAGCATGTTCCAGAATAACCAGGACTGTTGGAGAAACTCTGTCTTAAAAATCTTAAAACACATCTTTGAAGCCAGAATACTATACATGACTTTAATCCCAGCACCCGGGACATAGAGGCAGATGGATCTCTGTGAGTTGTAGCCTGGTCTACAGAGACAGAGTCCAGCAAGGGCTACCAAGTGATATCCCTGTCTCAAAACACAAAACAAAACAAAAATAAAACTCATGTTAAGACTTACAGTCAGTTCTTTTTTTTTTTTTTTTAATTTTTTTTAATGTGTATGGGTGTTTCGTCTTCACGTGGGTGCAGCACTGCCCAAGGAGGAGGGACTGTAGTTACAGTTGATGAGTCACCACAGATGCACCGGAAATTGAACCCAGGTCCTTGGGAGGAGTTCCTAGCGCTCCTGACTACTGACTCATCTCTCCAGGCCCTCATAGTTGATTCTTTTTAATAGGAAGCAAGCAAGCAAGCTAAGCATGGTGGTTACTGAGAAATTCGTGGATCTTTGTGAGTTCAAGGCCAGCCTGGTCTATACAGGAGTAGAAAACAGCCAGGGCTAAATAGATCATGACTAAAAAATAAAATCAATTGAAATAATTTAAAAAAAAATCAGAGCAAAGATACTGGCAACTTAACCTGACTAAACCATAAGTGTCTTTTACTATACAGCATCCTTTTAAGATGGTTTCATTATTAATACCAAGAGACTAGGGATTCTTACATTTCTTCCTAAAACAACTTATATATACAAAAATAATCTTTGCTTCTTAGGTCCTGGGAAGGAAGGTAAAGCCTGCAGGCAGAGTCGTGTCTAGAAATGCAAAGACAGTAGAACTACATCTGTATGGGGCCACTGTGTCTTCTGCAGTCTGAGCATGCTCTTGCAGCAAGCCAGTGTGATTTGCACTGGCCGGGACTCTGACGGGTCCTGGTACCTGAGGCCTGTGCCCACCACAGAAAGCACTTCTTTCCTTGACGAGCTTACCAACACACGACGGACTCTGTGCTTTATTCTAAAACCCCTTTTAGCTATCACCACAATCAGATTTTAAAAAGCTAAGCAACAAAATTAAAAATTATTTCAGTCCTACTTATGTCATCTTTCAGAACACTTTTCCACAGTTATCTGCAGGGCTTTATTCCTCTAATTCCCTCTTCTACATTCTGGTCACATTTCAGAGTATGGAAATTAAAGAAGGCTGGCTCACAGGTGACATTGCAAGACCACAATGTGAAGATGCTGTATTTTTCCTCTAATGGTTTTAAAGCTAGACCAAACAGAAGCTCTCACAGAAATGAACCAAACATCCTGCACTACTCACTTTCGATGCTTGCGTACTCACAATGTATTTAATACACAAAACCCACTAAATTGTTTAGTTTATTGTATTAATGATAAGTGATGCATTTTATTTGAAGCTTAGAAACACAACTTAAGCATGTGTGCACATGAAAAGCTTTAAAGTTGCTTGAAAATGTGAAAACAAATAAGATGTTAGCCTTGCTCAATATCAGCTGTCGTGCACTCCTGTCTGATGCATACTATTTCACAAAGCAAAGACCTAGAAGAGGCAATTTGGAATCCACCAGCTGCAGACACTGATTACATACAGCAAATTCTACCCAAGGTCAGACGTGTAGGTTTTCAATATCAACTTCTAAATAGCTCTGTACCTTTGTTTTGCCTTTTGAGACAGCGACTGTGTACCACTGACTAGCCTGGAGCTTGCTATGTAGAGCAGACTAGCCTCATAGAGAGCTACTTGCCTTTACCACCTGAGTGTGGGATTAACACACTGTTCAGCCACACCCAGACTAACGTTCTTTTGAAAATAGATTTAGAATGAAAAATGCTAGGAAAATAATTACAAGTCTGGCCCCTACAAGCTACAACCACTTATAAGACTATTTTCATTAGTTCATTCTGTAAATTGTTAGGCTGTGATTTAGACCAATTACATTTCCTAATTTTCAAAATTAGGTACTACAAGAAGCATATTATCACTGACCTGAAGGATTATTTTGTATTTTTGTATGTTTTGTGTGTGTGTGTATGTTGAACTCAAGAGCCCCATGAATACATGCAAGGCAAACACTCTATCATCTAAGCTACAACCTGTGTCTTTGATCCAATTTTTTTGTGTATTTGTCTATGCTAAATAAAACTCTTCCATGAACAAAAACAAAAATTTTATCCAATTCTGCAGGTTAAAAAAAAACAACAACAACAGTGACTGTATTAACTAACCAAAGATGAGTTCAGGGCTTGAAAGCACTTGTTCTCTTGCCAAGGACCCGGGTTCATTTCCCAGCAGCCACACGGTAGCTCACATTCATCTGTAAGCCCAGTTCCGGGGGAGCCAACAGACCACACATGTGGCACACATACACACATGTAGGCAAAACATTCATCATCTAAAATAAGTAAGCCTTAAAAAAAAATTTGCATGTCAAGAGAGGTGCCACACTGAATACACAGATAAAAACATGGAGTTTGGGGACAATCTGGGCTATTATAGAAAGATCCTGTATCAAAAAAATACATATATGCAAATGAATTCTAAAAGTATTCATTACACATTCCAAGAGTGCCGTACTTATAGGAAACTACTTCAACTGCAGGTCTGACTTCAGTAATGGAAAATTCCTGTCAAGTGTTGTTTGTTTAAAGCATCTTGTACAGTATGTGATCTCTGTTCAGTA